GATAAGTCTAATAACTATAACTGCAAGTATGACTTCAAAATTTGACCAACAATCGTAGCTTTTAGAAGTTGTTGTCAAACTCTGACCCAGTCAGTTGTGTGTTCTTAAGATAAGGGATCATATAATCCTCCATTCTGCAAGATAAAATATAGACAAACACATGGAACATAATCATTCTCATTGTCCAATAGTTTGTTTCCCGATTTATGATTTGTATGACGAAGAACTTAATTGAACACATTAATTCAGTCCTGACCAAGCCCGACACATAATTCAACACAAAATCATCGAGGGGCCCAAGATATCGCTTTTACCCCTTAGGATAAAAGGAACATATAAACTTTGACTTATATGCTTATACTATTTACTCATCAAATCATACACAACAATACATTTTATAACAACAAGTTACTGATGCGTTTACACATTATCAATGCACAACCAACTCGTAAACAACAACTCATATATCTCCGTTTAAAGAATATAAGATATTATCGTCTCATAATTACTCATGATAAGTTCCATGAAGTAATTCAAATGAGCGTGGGTTTAATCCAATACTTAAATCCGCATTTCAAGAGTACTCATGAACGTTGCAACAAACCGTTGACTTGTCTAAACACTTAGACAATCTACAAGCCAATTCATGAAAATCTTAATTCACTACTTTGAAATTATGAGCGACTGTGGATAATTTGAATAATCCAATTATTCAAGAAGTAAAATATGCAAAGTTGAAACACAAAACAAACAATTGACAAAAGATAGTAAACAATACTCATAAATAAATCTCCATTACTTAATCATCAAATGTCAATTACCTTTATATTGTTACAAGTTTCTGAAAAATCTATCTAATCACTAAAACTAATATCATCCTTCAGACCAATGCTCCTTGCATGTTGAATATGCTTAATCCTACTAAGACCCTTTATGAGGGAATCTGCAAGATTCTCTTTTGACGATACCCTCTTAACGATGAGGAGTCATTCTTCTAGTCGATGTCTGATGATGTGGTATTTTATGTCGATCTGTTTGGATCTTCCATGATCCCTTGGTTCTTTGGTCAAGGCAACCACTCCTTCATTATCGTAAAAATCTTCATGGGCTCCTTTATGGCTGGCACACTCCAAGGTATCCAATAAATTTCTTCAACCATATAGCCTTATTTGATGTTTCTCTCGTAGCTATATACTATTACTCACATGTTGAATCAGCCACGGTCTCCTGCTTGGAACTCTTCCAAGTCACTGCTCCTCCATTGAGTGTAAACACCCAACCAGACTGAGAACGGAAGTTGTCTCAGACTGTCTGAAAACTAGCGTCACTATAACCAGTAACTCTCAAGTCATCACTGCCACTAAGTACAAGGACCCAATCCTTAGTCCTTCATAGATACTTAAGAATGTTCTTGACTACTATCCGGTTAGCTTTACCCGGGGTCCCTTGATATCGATTGACCATGCTCAAAGAAAAATTCACATCAGGGTGAGTACATGTCATATCATACATAATCGAGCCAACGGCAGAAGCATATGGAACTCGACTCATTTATGCTATCTCAACATCAGTACTCAGACTCCGAGTCTTACTCAGCCTGATATTTCTCTAGATAGGTAACTCTCCCTTCTTGGAATTCTCCATGCTAAAATGCTTTAGCACTCTATCCAAGTAAGTAATTTGACTAAGTTTAATTAGTCTTCTACTCTTATTTCTCAAAATACTTATTCCCATAATACAAGAGCCTCTCCTAGATCCTTCATAGCGTAACACTTTCCAAGCTAGTACTTAACTTCCTGCAAGGTTAGAACGTCGTTTCCTATGAGAAGTATGTCATCAACATACAATACTAGAAAGCTAACTATACTCCCACTAGCTTTAACATATACACATGACTCATCCTCACTCCTAGATAAGCCAAACTCTTTGACCTTCTCATCAAAGCAAAGATTCCATCTGCGAGAAGCTTGCTTCAATCCATAGATTGATTTCTCAAGATTACACACTTTATTAGGGTACTTAGCATCCACAAAACCCTCTAGCTGACTCATGTAAACATCTTTAGACAACTTCCCATTAAGGAAAACGATTTTGACATCCATCTGTCATATTTCATAATCATGAAACGCAACTATGGATAGCATAACCCTAATAGATTTGATCTTGGCCACTGGTGAGAATGTCTCATTATAGTTAACCCCTGGGGATTGATTAAATCCCTTTGCAACCAGTCGTGCCTTGAACGTGTGCACTTTTCCATCTATGTCGGTCCTCTTCTTGAAAAATCAATTTGCACCCAACTGTCTTGCGACCTGGTACATTGTCACCCAAGTTCTAAACTTGATTGTCACACATGGACTGGATCTCACTGTCCATTGCCTCTTTCCATTTAGCAAACTCAGGGTACGCCATGGATTCCTTGTAGCTAGAAGGCTTATCCAAATTTACTAGTGTACTGTTACTGATAAACGTATCACCATCCATAGTAATATGAAAACCATAAAACTCTGGTGCCATAAAACGGGCCCATACTACCTTCCACACCTATCCATACTTTCCACAACAATCCTCCTGAATCCTCTAAGCGACCTAATCCACTGATGCACCAAAAAACCGCTAAACAACAACACAACACCCACCAAAGCAACTCCTAGGCTCCCCTTAGGCTCCCAACCTCGCCCTACCATTAGTTGCTGAAGAACTCCCCATGATGTCAACCATCCACCTCCTGGATATCGTCATATCCACTTAGTAGCTGACTCCCATCACTCAAGAGTTCCACAAAGCACAAAGCAAGCAGCATTCGTGAGTAGCACTCCGATCCATAGAACTATCATAGAGTATTCAGCCCACATACTACAACTCATGTTATCCACATCCATCCATCCTCACTGTCGGCTGCCTTATACATGCAAATTATACACAAAACATGATCTAATAGACTGTTGAGTAATAGACTCTACCCTAAGACCACAACCAGATGAGGAACATGAAATAAGGCTTAATCAATTAATTTAAGGCTATAAGATCCTAACCGTATATAATTTTAAAAGCAAACACTTAGCTGTTACTAATATCAATAATCATTCTCATTCTAGCATGGCATACAATACCTCCAAAACTACAAGCATCACATATCAGGCCAAATCTATCACTGACTACTCAACACTAGCATGCAAGTCTACCGGCTCATACAACATATAAAGGAATCTCTCCTAGCCCTAACTAGCATGCGATTCTCAGATTCATAAATTAAATCATAACAGATAATATATATAGGTATGTTGGAGAAACTTACTTAAGCTCAGCTGATTTCATGCACCAAGCCCTTTTTGGTTTTAGAAAACTTTTTCCTTTTGAAAACTTTACAGATCCTCAGTTTGAGTTCAAATACACCCGAAAGTATGTTCGAATCCATCAAACCACGACTCTGATACCAACTTGTAACGACTCAAAAATCAAGGGTAAAATTTTCATTTTTAATATAGCCAAAACATTAATACCATTTATTTCAAACATTCCAAAACATATTTAAGTAAAACATTTATCAGAGTTCGTCCCAAAATCATTTATTGCGGAAATCATAGGTGTATGCACTGCGAACAATCAGAGCCCTTCTTTTCCAAATCGATGATACTTGAAACCAAAACTATAAACCGTAAGCACGAAGCTTAGTGAGTTCCACAGAGCATACTCCACATAATACACATAACCGCATAAACCATATCAATCACATAGGCAATAACAATCATATAAAGGAGCCATGGAAACCCTCCAAGGCCCAACATATGGACCAATTTCCCAAATTAGGCCTAAACCTCTACATGGGCTTATCTTAAGGCCCAACCATTTATTCTAGTCTAAACACTTGGCATTCTGATGGCCCAATAGTTAATAGTTCTCAAGGCCCATTTATGGCCCATTAATGGCTTAATTTTCCAAATTGGGCCTAATCCTCTCTAATGTGTCTTATCCTAAGGCCCAAGAATTTCCTTAGTCCATAATTATGTTCCCAATTATCCCAAAAAGGCACAAAGCATCTTTGTCCAATAAATGGCCCAACAATAACCCAAACCCAATTAGGGTTTTTTTTCACATAAAATGATGATTAGGGTTAAGTGTTTGTTACTTAATCCATTAAGTCCATCAATATACTAGGTCAATCATATAGTGTGGCCAAGCTTAATACATAATCCACATCCGGTCATCCAAAATGCGGGTCCCGACAAGTCTAAAACCCATATATCCAAAATTAGGGTTTTCTAAACCCTAGTTAGAGTTTCTAACCCAATCCCAACCCAATTAGACTCAAAAGCTAAGTATTTATATCAGTTGGGGTTTCATAAGGCCTACTAGGGTTTCATAAGTCAGGCACCACCCATTACCTTCTCCGGTAGTGGTGGTCAACGGTGGCTTACGACGGAAGCCACCACCTCACGGTGGTGGTTATGGTTCTAGTCCATTTTTTTTCCAAGCATCTTAAAGCAACTAATCACAAGCAAAAACACACCGCCACCCAACACGGCGACTGGTGGCGGCAACCACTACCTCACGGTGGTGGTTATGAGTTTTGTTGATTATTCCATCACCGATTACAATTTTACAATGCAATACCCCCTAAATAAACAGTCTCTCTCACCCAAATAGATAAACACACACACAACCACCCTTATGGTGGCCGACGGTGGTACAAGGCGGCAGCCACCACCTTACGGTGGTTGTGGTGGTCGTTCTCTTGAGTTTCGGCCAAACGAAACCACATACAAGACACACATGCTTTTGGCTTTGCGAAATGGACCCAACCACACCCAACCACCCACCTGGTGGCGTTTGGCGACGGCGACAACAACACAAGCGACACAACGATGGTTTGTGATGTAACAGCGGAAGAGAATGGCGGAGGGAAACCGGGAATGGAAACAGTCGACATCGCTGACTGGTTGATGGCTCACCATGACGACTAAGACATCGATTGGAAACGACAGTTGTGGCGAACGGCGATGGCGGCGGCCGGAACGCCACAAACATCAGCAATCCACTGCTTCAACTCTTTCTCTGGTCTTCACTGGTGCAACGCCCTTTCCCGGTTCCTCATTGGTCTTTGTTATAGCCTGCAACAAGAGTCACCGACGACGTTCGGTGGTGCCAAGTGGCCGGAGATGGTAGCGGCTGTTGGAGGTAGGGAAGGAGGGTGACGGTTGGGAAGAAACGATTAGGGTTAGGGTTTGACAGGTGACGATGGGTATATACCCTGTCTTAAGAAACTTCCGCCCATAATGACATAATCAGTCCCTCCCCTCCGAAATGTTTCCAATTTAGCTCCAATATTTACCAAGTACACCCCTGTTTCCATAATTCCTTTCAAATTCGATCCCTAATTTACCAAATAGCACCTTAGCCTCCAAAATCTCTTCGAATGAAGTCCCAGAAGTTACCATTTAACTCCTATCACCCCAAATTCCTTTTGATTGAAGTCCTAATAATTAACAAGCACCGTCATGATTTCTAAAAATCTTTACAAAACCAACCCTGAACTCACACTTTAACCCGCGAAAGTCTAAGTTATATCTTTTGGCTCCCCGGAACCAACATACCACTAAACATTGTGGATTCTAGGGCCATTTTAAAATAATATAAATTATAAATTTACATCTTGGGGTTCCAGATTTATTATTTTATTACTCCATTTTAAACGGAGTGTTATAAGAAGAAGATATATATACATACATACATACATATATATATATATATATATATATATATAATATATATATATATATATATATATATATATATAGAGAGAGAGAGAGAGAGAGAGAGAGAAGAAGAAGAAGAAGAAGGGGGTACGGTGGGTGGAGTGGTGGAGCAGGGTAGGGTGATATATATATATATATATATATATATATATATATATATATATATATATATATATATGTTCAGGTTCATTTGAGACCATTCTAATTTTGTGAGACCGTGAGACCAAATCTAAAAATAATTTTAAAATGCAAAATAAATGGAAAAATCCAAAAATTCTTTTTTTAAATTTATTTTCGGAACTTGAATTAACTAAAAAAATAAATAAAAAATTAAAAAAATTAAAAAATCCCGTTTTTTTTTTTTTTTTGAAAAATACGTGAAATATTGTAAATAGAATATTACACTGACATATTCTAAAAAATAATTTTAAAATGCAAAATAAATGGAAATATATAAAATTCTTTTTTAAATATTCTTTTCGGAACTTGAATTAACTAAAAAAAAAAAAAAAATCCTTTTTTTTTTTTAAAAAATACGTGAAATATTCTAAATAGAATATTACACTGTACATATTCTAAAAATAATTTTAAAATGCAAAATAAATGAAAAAATAAAAAAATTCTTTTTTTAAATATTATTTTCGGATCTTGAATTAACTAAAAAAAAAATTAAAAATAAAAATAAAAAAAATTAAAAAATGCGTCTCACGGTCTCACAAAATTAGGTCGTCTCACATGAACCTAACCCTATATATATATATATATATATATATATATATATATATATATATATATATATATATATATATATATATATATATATATGTATATAACTTTTTTAAATACTAAACTCAATAAAAAAATGAAAAAACGAAATTATAATGGTAAAATGGATATTTCAATATTTTCAGGACCAAAACTAAAAAAAAACTTTAATTTTAAACCATACATGCAAGTTGAAAGTTTTTTGGACCGTATCCAATTTTTTTTTAAATACCACATGGATCAATTTTAAAATTTTGTTGATTTTTATTCATGTGTATTTTATGATAACTTATTTGTATATTATAAATTATTAAAACAAAAACAAAACAATATTATATTATTAATTTATTTGTTTATATATATATATATATATATATATATATATATATATATATAATATATATATATATATATATATATGACTCACCAAAACGAACTAACTCGAATAATGTTTTGTTTGGCTATTTCAGGTTGTAAACAAATTGACGACGCATAATTATTTTTTTCTAGTTTATTCATTTAACAAATTACGTTGTTTTGTTCGTTTGTTACCATATTAAACAAACATAAAAAGAATTAATATAAACAAACGAAACAATATTAAAAATAGATTAAAAAGTATAGTGATTACCTCAAAAATATCAAAAAAAAAAAAAAAACATAATTGAACGAATTAAAATGAATATTCATATAATTATTAGTAGTTATTTTTAAAAAAATTTTATTATATAATTTTATTAAAGTATAAGTTTTTTTTATATATATTTTTATCAAGTAAGTTAGCATGTAAAAAGAATTGAAAAGCTAGAAGTCTCTAGTTTAAACTTTAAACATTGATATAAGTGATTTTTTTGATAGGAAATAGAAATAGAAATTATTACACAAGTGGGCTATGAATTCTATGATAAAAACTAGGCATTACGATTTTATTCGTGTAGTTAATCGATAAAAACTAGGCAAGTGTACGAATTTATTTAACACCCCTTTATGCCCTAATACCTTCGACACCCACACATCGCATACGCTCTCCAATTCGAACCTCAGGCCACCAAACTTGAGCGAATCCCACCTCCGGCCACTCCAGTGAGTTCCTCCGCCAGCGCCGCCTCTCCAACCTCTTCTTTCTTCAGTCGGTAAGCTTCTCTTCTCCACATCTGAAATCGATTTTCTTTCTTCTCAGAAATTGATTTGTTATGTGAAATCGAGTTTCTTGCGTCTCTTCTCTGTCTCTGAAATCGATTTGGAATATCATTTTCAAGGCAAAGTGGCAACTGCTGAATCTGATTATCTGATCTGATGTGTTTTGTTATGTGATTATGAATCTGATTTTGTTTGCTGAACTTCGATTCTCTGTTGTGTTTTGTTATATGATTATGCTTTGAATCTGATTATGCGTTTAGACCGGGAGTAGTTGAGAAGCCTGTTTCACATGCTTGATTTCTACACAACAGCCACACTGTAACCATTAATTTACAGTAGAGGAATATCATATTCAAATACTTATGGGAAAAACATACATATGCAAATTCAAAGATTAACATCATATTCTCAAATCTCAAATCTGATTCGCTTTCGGGGACTGCTGAATTGTTCAAGAAATTTTATGACAGATAGACTACAGAATTAAAAGAAATGACATAACCATATCCAGGCAAAAATAATATATTCAAGGCCAATACAAATACATAAATGTTAAAAATCGAAATAGGATCAACAAGAAAGAATCTTAATCAAACGATTACTAGATTATTCATGGTGTATATCAAACACTACCTACCAATTGACATGAACATTGCATAAATAGCATATTTAAGGGCAACACAAATATGATCTCTGAAAGTCTTAGCCCTGTTTTTAGTTTATATGTATTATAAGTTGCCTATAATGAATAAATGATCTTTGAATCTTCTTTTTTTGTTTGTGCTCTTTAGGTTCTAAAATGGCAACAACATCAGCAAGTGCCCTTTCAATCAGATCAACATCTCATGCCTCCAAACCTACCCAACTTCTGCAACCCAAAACATTTGGTGTCAATTTCACCTCCCGAAACAATCTCAAATCCTCATCCTTCCTAAACAAGGAAAGCACCGCAGCTCTCCGTTACTCTCTCACCCAAAAACCCCAAAACCACCACCAGCCACCACCATCCGCCCTCAAAATCCAAGCATCTTTCAAAGTCGCCATCCTAGGTGCCGCCGGCGGAATCGGCCAACCCCTCGCCCTTCTCGTAAAAATGTCACCGCTAGTCTCCGACCTCCACCTCTACGATATCGCAAACGTGAAAGGTGTAGCCGCCGATCTCAGCCACTGCAACACCCCATCCCGCGTCCGTGACTTCACCGGAAACACTGAACTCGCCGCCTGTCTAAAAGACGTCGACGTGGTCGTGATTCCCGCCGGAGTCCCGAGAAAGCCCGGAATGACACGCGATGACCTCTTCAACATCAACGCCGGAATCGTGAAAACCTTGATAGAATCCGTAGCCGATAACTGCCCGGACGCGTTCATCCACATCATCAGTAACCCAGTCAACTCAACCGTCCCGATCGCTGCTGAGGTCTTGAAGCAGAAAGGCGTGTACAATCCCAAAAAGCTCTTCGGTGTCACCACTCTCGATGTTGTTCGCGCCAACACTTTTGTTTCTCAAAAGAAAAACCTAAAACTTATCGATGTCGATGTCCCGGTGATCGGAGGACACGCCGGAATTACGATCCTACCCTTGCTATCGAAGACGAAACCGTCGGTCACGTTTACCGAACAAGAAGCGGCGGATCTAACGGTAAGGATTCAAAACGGCGGGACGGAGGTTGTGGAGGCGAAGGCGGGGGCGGGGTCCGCCACGTTGTCGATGGCGTATGCGGCGGCGAGGTTCCTGGAATCGTCACTCCGGGCGCTTGATGGTGATTCGGATGTTTATGAGTGTGCGTTTGTTGAGTCGGAATTGACGGAGCTTCCGTTTTTTGCTTCGCGGGTTAAGCTTGGGAAACAGGGAGTTGAGGCGGTGATTGGGGCGGATCTTGAAGGGTTGACGGAGTATGAGGAGAAAGGTTTGGAGGCTTTGAAGGTGGAGCTTAAGGGGAGTATAGAGAAGGGTGTGGCTTTTGCACAGAAGCAAACAGTCGGTGTTTGATTCATGTTTTTGACTTTTGAGAGGAAGGTAATAAGATTCGGCATGTTTTACTCTTTTTTTTTTTAAATATAAATCTCCAATGCTAAGTTTTGTAGGAACTTGAGAAGTTGGTTGTTGTAGCATTTGTTGTTTTCTATGTGTTTAACTAATTTCTGAAATCTGAAACCGGTTTTGAATGTTCAGGGTATGAAATCTATATGGGGTACTATCATGATAGTTGAAGTTGAAATGAAAATGAGAATCTAAACTTTCAAATTTGCAATTTTTGGATAAAATTCATTCAAACGGCCGTGGTTTGTGGTTTGTAGGGGTCTATCGTTTTGTAACCGCGTACAAATCACAATCGATGAATTTGATTTAGTGGTTCTGATTTAGTATTTGGTTCTTACAAAATTTATATAATGTTCTCTTAGGAATAAGAAAGTTCGGTTTGACATAATTGGTTCTTATTTATTCATTTTGACATTTTTAATTATTTTTTAGAAACTTTTTAATATTTAAAATTTGATCATAAAGCTTTAAGGAATTAACACTTTTGGTCACTGACCTAAAAACTTGAATATTTTTTGTCAACTTTGGCTTTTATTTTTTTTTACCTATTTGACACATTTGGTCATTGGAATCCAATTTTTTTCATTTTTTAGGAACTTTCTAATATTTAAAGTTTGATCACAAAACTTTAAACGAACTGAACGTTCGGCGAACCGTTTGTGAACTGTTCGGTGGAAAGTTCGTTTATGTTCGTTTATTTAATAAATGAACGAACAAGAATAAAAATGATCGTTCATTTAGTTAAATGAACAAACATGAACAATGGTCTCGTTCGTTCATTTATGTTCGTGAACGTTCGTTTATAATGTTTGTTTACGTTTGTTTATGTTCGTTCGTTTAAGTTTATTTATATTCGTCTATATTCAATTATTTTTTATTATATTGCTATATTATATGTTCGTTTATGTTCATATATGTTTAATTGTGTTTTTTTTTCTTTGTTCGTTTATGTTTGTTCGTTTATGTTCGTTTAGGATGTTCACGAACATAAATGAACGAACATGAACAAAGTAATTTGTTAAACGAACGAACATGAACAAGAAAATCTCGTTCGTTTATCCGTTCGTGTTCGTTTGTTGTTCGGCTAACTAAAACGAACGAACATGAACAAGACCTTGTTCGTGTTCGTTTAGTTCGTTTACAACCCTACCCAAGGACTTAGATATAACTTTTGGTCATGAGGTATGGTGAGTACATGTTTACTAATAATTGAAAATGGTTATCATTCTATATTTTTTTATTTATTCTTTTTTTACATTATATTAAATAAAAAACACACTAAAACATTAATAAAAATAAAAATAATAATTTTAAATTTAACATACATGCTTACTAATAAAATAAAAATTGATAAACATAAAAGTGATATTTTTAAAATTCAACGTATATTTTACTAATAACATAAAAATTAATAAAAAACATAAAAAAAAAAAACCTATTCGTCTGCATCGTTGTCCTCATAGTCTGCATCCTCATCCACTTCATTTTCGTCTTTAAATTGTCGTTGTCATATATACTCAGTCAAATCTTGACGTAGATTGTGATATGTTTCACTATTTTGTATTTCCAAAAACCTTGTAAAGTATGCTGGGCTGCCGACTTGTATTATCGCAGGTGGATTGAGCATATCATTCGGAGTATACGTACAAATAGCCCTACTCTCTTCTTCTAGTATCATCTTATATACAATAACACACGTTTTCATCACCTTCATCAAAATTTCCCTTTCCCATGCTCGTGATGGATATTTGATTATGTGTCACTTTTGTTTGAGGACCCCAAACGCCCGCTCCACATTCTTCCTTGCAGATTCCTGTGCTAATTTGAACAATTTCATTTTTTTCATCAGCTGTATATGTGTATGACTTGATAAATGTGGCGTACTCTAGATATATCCCATCAGCAATGTAATATCCATGATTGTATTCACGTCCATTAATAACGTATGAGATGTTTGGTGCTTTAACCTGTAAAATTTCGTTAAATAATGGAGATGCTCCAAGCACATTCAAAGTATTGTTTTACCTTGCCATACCAAAAAATACATGGCACAACCAGAGGTCCTGTGAAACAACTGCTTCTAGTATAACAGTAGGCACACCATGATCACCTCGTGTAAATTGCCCTTGCTATGCATTGGGACAATTTTCCCACACTCAATGTGTATAATCAATGCTACCTAGCATTCCTGGAAATCTATGTTTAGCCTGATGTATGACATACAAGTGTTCGATATCACTTCTAGTTGGATTTCGCAAGTATATGTCGCCATAAAGCTCTATAACATACTCACAAAAAAAATATGCACATCCTCGACCGGTCCTCGCAGACATCTTCAAATATTCATCTGAAATCTGAAATGTTTGCGGCTATGCCGTACACTAATTGTCTAAGAGTTGTTGTGCATTTTTGAAACGTAGTAAACCCACGTTTACCCTTAGCATCCCATCTCAATTGGAAGAACTCATAATTGTTTTCCAAATCTCTAGCTATACGTAGGAATAAATTTCTACTGATACGAAAGTGATCCTCAAACTTCGATAGGTCGTATAAACTATCAAGGTTAAAGTAATCACGTACCAAAAGTTCGTTCGCCGCCTCTCGATCCCGGTTGATGGACTTTCTTCGATTCTTCTCAACATTTGAAGTTTCGCCTCCATGATGTACAATGTCGTTTGCCGCAGACAACAACGTATGTATAACCAACTCATCATCATCGGGATCTTCATAAGAAGAAGAAGAATAAGAAATGGCATCCAAAAAATTATTCATATTCTTGTTATTGAGTGTGATTTTTTTGTAGGTTGTAATAAAATATGTGATATGTATTATGTTTGTATATATAGGTGAGGTTTTCGTTTTGTAAAGAATGTTTTTTAATAAATATTAACGGTCAAAATGAAGTAAATGGGAGAAAACTATAAAAAAGCGAGACATCCAATCAAATTGTGCTTAACCACCCGTGAACCATATCACTACGCGTCACATTCACCAGGGAGGGGGCGATGTTCACGCGTAAATATTAATAGATGACCTACCTTGGGTTTGTTTTAAAAAAAAAATCTTAAAAAACTATTTAATATATATATATATATATATATATATATATATATATATATATATATATATAAGTTATTAAGGACAATTTGTTATTTTAAATTATGGAATTGATAACAAAAGTTAATCACTCTTAATCGATTCTCCTAAAATATTAATAAATAAATAAGTTGCTTTAATAAAAGGAAGTTCACATGCCAAAGACTCTTACTCTTCTTTCGCCGCTTTATCACTGGACTAATAATCAACTAGTTTTTTGTTAAACCGTATGGGTTTTTCGGTTATATTTCAATCGTTTTTAAAAATTTTAATCGTTGGCGCTTGATTTTTAACGGATTGAACCGGTTCAATTCTTTTAAGTTACACGACCCGATCCAACCCGACCCGACCCTACCCCAAAAGTGTTGTTGATTTTTTTTATCGGCTTCACTTAATTTAGGAAACACGTGATTTTTTGTTCTAGATTCGCCACTACGACATTTAGAATTTTACTATTTTTGTCTTAGGGATGGTGGTTATGACAAGAAAGTGAGACAATTGATGGTAAGTAGCATGTAAACGAGCCAAGTCAAGTCCAAACCTACATAAGCTCGAGCACGACTCGTTTAAATTTACAAAGCTCGAGCTCGAGTCGATTAACACGCTAGCTAAAATAGTGAAACTCAAGTTCGGCTCGCAAAATATCTGACACACAAGTTTAGGCTGGACACAAACCAAGGCTCGATTTGAGTTTGGCTCGTTTGTCAAAAAAATAAAAAACAAAAGCTCAACTTGTTTTCCAAGCATGACATACCTCAACTTCAACTTAAACTAAATTGAATTAAAAAAATAAAGCATAACACTACTGCTTTTACGTTAAAAAGTTTAAATTTAGAACCGAAATTAATATTCATTCCTTTAAATCATTTAAGAAAACTAACCATGCGGTTTTAGATTTTATGAAATCTCTCCGACGACGTTTTTAGTTTGCAGTCGTAGCTCATGCTTCTCCTCTTATACAAGATAGCTATGAGCAATTTGGTTATCATTCCAAACAGACAAAATTACATAGATGGTCCCTTGGTTGGCACAAAAGACCAAAGATAGTCCTTATGATGAATTTTGAATGAGTGTGGTCCTTGTGGTTACCAATTGTTGCACGGATAATCCTTATGACTGACTCCATTTGAATTCTACCATTTATCAAAATCACACGAGGGTATTTTGGACTTTTGCTTTATTACACGATTTGATCATATTCATAAAATGATCCTTACAACCGGCTATCATTTACCTCACCCCCAATAAATCCACCCTTTCTTCTCTCCTTTGGTTTTTCATCTTTATCACTTCGAAACTCAAACGAAAACTAGGGTTTTCATCTTCATCTTTTGCGATGGTTCTAACTTTGTGGAATGTCCGTTCAAAATGCTCAAAAAAAATCCAAACTTGATGAAAGCTTACAATGAGATCATTTAACAACTTTCAATTTTGTTAAAATTTTCATGTTTTAAACTTTTGAGACTTCATTCTTTACTCATATCATTATTTATTTGTTTTTCATTTGGGTTAAGTAATGTATCCACATTCAAGATTCAACATGGGGGCATGTTTACAAAATACACAGGAAGACGTGACTATGTGAACATGGATGTGTTTTCAGTACATGAGTTAGACGATATGCTGAAGGAGATAAGTTATATCAGTGGTGAGCTTATCTACTACCACTTCTTGATTCCAGTGATTGAAATCGATTATGGGTTACTTCCTTTAGGTAATGACTCAGATGTACTTATGTTAAGTAAGCATGTCTCTAATCACAAAGAGATTATGGTGTATAGTGAACATGGAAATACTAGAGTCCATACTTAGTTTATGTCTCTAAATAAGGTTGTATTGGAAGAGATAAAGGAGCCTATTTCTCCTGAACCAATCGAAAAAAGTTTACTAGTATAGAGGTAGGATCATGCAGTAGAAAATTGGATTTGCATGAGAACTATGACTTTTCTAGGACCATTGTACCTTTTGGATATTTTGTTGGAGATGTAGTGAAAGATGTTGGTGTTTAAGCTGCAGGTGAGAGGCTTAATAAAGTCTAAGATGTTGGTGTTCAAGCTATAGGTGAGAAGCTTGGTATACCCATTGATACTCTGTTAGATGACTAACATTGATCCTTTCTTTTATATGGATCATACTGATACCAACAGATGGGGGACAAAGATTTAGAATATTGTGGTGAAAGGGTGGTAGATAATGAAGAAATTGGGGATGTTATTAGTGATTAGAGTAGTATGGATGGAAGTATAAGCAAGGATAGTGATTATTTAGTTGATGAACTTA